GCCCCATTAGCAGCCGGCTCTCTTCCCAAGCTGTATGTTGTGCTGAAGAGGAGGCCCCTCCTTGCCCCAGGAATGGAGCGGCCAGTTGATCTGTTGCCCCTGAACCCTTAGAGTACTATGTTGATACCATCCCATAGTACTTGTGATTCCAGGTTGTCACCTTAAGTAGGTTGTAAATTCTTTGAAGGCAGGGATCATATCTTTCTGTGCAGTCAACACAATATTTAAAATACGATGCTTGCTTAGGAAGGGCTGTTTTTCTTTCTGGACTGGTGAGTGTGGCAGATGGAGGGAGTGCCATGCAATCAGACTTCTTGGCCATGACACACGCTTGGCTTCTTTTATGGAAGTTGCCACCTGCAGATCCCTCACCACCAGGCACATGCTTTTCTACCATATTGCAGAATCTTTACGGAGGTTGCTTGTTCTTCCTTAACTAACTTTGTGTCACACGCTTCACTTAGGCACCTTTGAACAGAGAAGCAAGATTGCTGCTTCCTCAGCAGCGGAATAAATGCTCTTTACAACTGTCTCCCCTTGGAAGTATATCTTATAGAAATCCTAGTTTCTAACTTCATCCAAGAAATTTCCAGGCACTTGTAGCCTAGACTGTCCTTTCAGAACTGCTTACACTGCTGGAAAACGACTCCATCGAGATTCTCATATGAGTGACAGGGACAAGAAGTCTTTGGATTGTGGATTAAAAAAAATTTTTTTTTAATTACCGACACTTCTATTATGAACTACCACAGTTGACAAACAGTAGTTTCCATAGCAATTTTAGACTGCCCTTAGGTGAGGGCTTTCCCTTCCAGATGCTATTTGAGATTAATCCCAAATTAATCTCAAATAGCATCTGTGTGGAATCCCAGGAGTCATAAAGTTATTTTATGTGTCAAACCTTGGCAAGGAATGCTACTAATTTTTTTTTTGTTCTTAGCGTTAAATATAGAGCCTTATATATTTTCAAATTTTCCTCTACTACCTTTTTTTTTTTTTTTTTTAAAGAAAGATGTTCTGTGAAAAAGAAGCCATTCATCCATTCAGCTGAGCTCTGGCTGGGTGAGCCAGCAGCCATCGGGCCTCCTCGCTGGGACTGGGGCTCTTTTTGACTGAGCTGTACCTTTGGGCATTGAGTTTCTATTTACTACCTGGATACTTTCCATTTTGAACACATTTGGGCCTTTCACTGAAAGGCACTTGAAAAATTCAAGGTTTTAGCGTTACCACCGAAAACGTTTACTAAAATATCATTTGTACCTGGAGCCATTTAAAACAAATGAGTTAACCTCCTGTGCTCTGAGAATAATCTTTTCTTTCTTTCTTCTTGTGGGTTTTTTTTTTTTTTTTGGTCAATACAATAGTCTGTGAGCATTAGGTGACCACAGCCATGTGATTCCATTTTAGTACATAATAGTTATTTAAAAAGTCGATTCCTAGAGCTAAAGAAATGGAAATATTTAACCAAAAGAAGAGAAAGTTTGAAGATCTCAAAACTTTCATGAGACATTTGAAAGGCGGTTGAATGTGGAGAGGGTATGCTGTCTGCTATGGTTTGGTTCTGTTTCCCCACCCAAATCTCACCTTGAATAAGAGCAGGACCAGGTGGAGATAACCGAATCATAAGGGATGTGTGGTGTTTTTTTTTTCCCATGCTGTTCTTGTGATAGTGAGTTCTCAGAGATCTGATGGTTCTATAATGGGCTTCCCCTTTTGCTCAGCTCTTATTCTTCTCTCTCCTGTTGCTTTGTGAAGAACATGTTTGCTTCCCCTTCCACCATGATTGTAGGTTTTCTGAGGCCTCCCCAGGCCTGGGGAACTGTGAATCAATTAAATCTTTTTCGTTTATAAATTAGGCAGTCTCAGGTATGTCCTTATAACAGCATGAAAATGGACTAATACACTACCTGATACTCCCCAGGGAAGAACCCCACAGTATCAGGATAGGGGATAAGGAAACCAGTTTGGGTCAATGGAGGAACAAATTTGCCAGCAGTCTGGAGCTGTCGATAGTTGGATTAGATGGTTTCATGAAGTTGGGAGCCTCTGGATTCAGAGACCAAGTGACCGCCTTCCCCTTGCGCTGAGGGAGGGAATTTCTTCCATGGGTTGGAAATGGAATGATAGGGAGGATCCGGAAGGGCCATCTAACCTGATAATTTATGTGATTTTCTCATTTAAGGGAGAGAATATTATCTACAGTGTTTCTGATTTTTTTAAGGGCCTTGGGGAAGGACATAATGAATTATTCAGAGACTTCTCTCTGTGAAGCAAGTTGCACAGAGACAGACAACTTGATACAAATTACGATTCTAAAATTGTTAGTAATATATTTTATTCATGCACTCTACTTACAGTAGATTTCCTGCTTGACATTTCTTAGACATATCACTCATGATCCCACAGTTACTCTTTGAATGGGTGTGAAACCTGTGTAAAAAAAAAAAAAATGATGTACACAGTCTAATGGATTATGCAAGTCTTAAAATGTCTCGAGAAAAAGGATTACTCATTAGGATTCTCAAATGAATATATTCAATATAATCGGTGGTGCAACTGCTCTCTCATGTAGCAGGTACCAAAATCTGGTTTGTGTTTTATATCGGGGGGTTGATACTTTTCTGAAGAATTTTAACAAAGGCAAATAAATACCTCTTCTGGGGTGCTTTACGGTGGAGCTCACAAAGGATTTCTTCAGCAGTACTATCAGTACTGCTTTTCTCTCCATACTTTCAAAATCTAGAATCTTTTGCCAGTACTTTTTTCCCTGTTTTCTTCTGAGTGGTAAAATCCATCTGGACCGTTTTTCTACAGGCCTGTGAGGGGGTGTTAGCCAGAGAGCAGTGTTTTGAATTCATACACAGAATAGGTACTTCTGGTTAGAAGTTCCCATCCCAGTATCCTCTCCCAGGCCCCAGTTCTGCATTGGCAGAGGACACCTTTCCCAAGCAGTCCAGACACCTGCCAGCAAATGCACTCATCTGCTGACATCTAGGGAGCCTTGTGATGTTTCTGAATACTGCCCACTGTTCCCAAATGCTGAAGTATTTAGGAACTTACAGCTCTAGCCAGTACAGGAACAGCTGTACATTCAGGAATGCTCGTGAAATGTGGCAGGGCGGGCCCTGCACTGCTAGGCACAAGGCCCAGGCTCCTGGTGGGCAGTTTGGTTGGTGGTTCATGCACACACCCGATAGTTATTTATGGCTACATGCTAGGCACTGTGTAGATACGGAAGCATAAACAGACACTTCCCCTCCTGGGGCTATGTTGAAGAGACTGACAGTCAGCATGTATGCCAACAAATAGATTATTCGTTTAAAGTCACAGGAGGTGCTATGTAGGTGAAAAGGAGTACTGGTTAGGGAATAGGAGAGGAGGGCTTTGCTGGAATGGGGCCTTTAGTGGAGACTCCGGGGATGTGTGAGATGGGTCTAGGGAGAGGAGAGGGGAGCGTGCCAGGGAGAAGGGAGCTTGGCTGAAGGTCTAGAGCACCCAGGACAAAGGGGGACCTAGTGCAGGCTGAGGTGGGTGAGCTGGACAGAGGTAGACAGGGCCCCGTGCAGTGAGGAATTTGGTTCTCATCCAGCTGCAAAGGGAAGCTGTAAGATTTTAGGCTGGGGGTGGGATCATCATAAAGGTGTCCCTGACTGCTGCCTGGGTAGAGTCGGGCGTAAGGGGAAAGGAGGACAGACTAAGTGGAAAAGAGAGAACGAGAGAAGAGTGGTGGTTGTCAATTGCAGTTGTTTTAGTCCAAGATGATGATACCCACAACTGGGATGGTGGCAGCAAAAGTGGCTGATGGTGAAGGCCTGCAAGGAGGTCTGGCTGTGGATCTGAGGGGTAATCCACTGTGCAGCTCAGAACGATGACCCTCAGGTCGGGGGTGCTTCTCAATTAACATCTGATGCTGTTCTACTAAAGGCAAAATGGATGGTCCAATGTAGACAAGGCAGAAATAGTGCTGGTAAGAACTGAGAACACTGCCTGCCATCCCTGCGTGTTTGTACAGGCCTGGCGTCCCTCTGGGCTCAGGTGGAACTGTTGTGACAGCTCTTGCACTGGACTGGGAAAGTTTTGGGCAAAAGGAGTCCTTGAATCAGAGACTGTTACTGCAGGGACAGACCTTAGACGCCCTTCAACACCCTCATCTTATAGTTTAGGGAACTAAGTTTCAGAGAGGTTTGAGTTATTCATACAAAGACACACAGCCGGTGAGTGACAGAAACTATCCAATGATGCAAACTTAAAAAAAAAAAAAATTGTGAATGATAGATTTTTAAGTCTTCATTAAGTCCTTCTAGGGTCTAACTTTAAAATTCCTTTCAGAATTAATTTATTAAACGATCAAGTCAGTCAAAACCCCAGAACTGTTTCAAGTCGACAGCTTAAAAGTGGAATCTGAATGTTAACCAAGATAATTTTCCTTGTATGTGGACTGCGGTAACTGGGCCCCAGTCTCTCATGTGAAAAGCCAGACAGATTCAGATCTAATGAGTTCTGGCTACTGGGGCAGATGGATTTTGGAATTTGCTATTTATGGCGTTTTCGAGTGTCACCTTCCCCTTTTAATAAGCACTGAGCTGTGCTCTGGCCCCCACGAGCCTGGAGCACATAGGTGGGTATGCCGCGGGCCTCAGAGCCAAATGACTTCTGGCCCAGGTTTGGAGTTGAAGGTTTAACTTGGGGTGTTGGCCATTCCTCAGGATTGAGGATGTGTTCTTTTGAATAAATGGTGATCGATCCCTGCACATTGGAGAGCTGATGGGGGTATGCTTGGTGGAGGGAGGCACACCCCCGGAGGCTTGAGGAGGGCAGTTGCCTTTCACGTGCTGAGGAGAGCAGCGGCATGGTTAAATCAGGAATTAAAAAAATATGAAGAAATTGTCAGGGAGAGCCTTAGCTGGGGCCCAAAGGAAATCAAGAATAGGAGCAAAGGAGCATGCAATTTAAAATGTAAAATACAAACTGAAACCGAAGCCATTTCTATGAAACATTAGGAACGTTCTGTAAGTATTGCTGGTCGGGGTCAGGAAAGCGCAAAAGATTGTGTTTTGAGCCCATTGTCAGTGTGTTATTCAGAGGGGAATTTCTGTTTTTTGATTGGGAGTTATTCCGAGTTGTGAAGCAGTGAGGTGTAGGGGGAAGAACACCACCAGCTCTAGGCCAGTCGCTCCATCTCCTGGAATCTCTCTTTCTCATCTGTAAGATGGGGGTCAGGGCGGCCTCTGTCTGATCACTCTGAATCGTTGAGACGCTCAAAAGAGATAATGTACCAAACATTTTGTAAGCCCTACAATACCATTTAAAGTCTATTTCCTCCCAGCTCTGTTTTCTAAAATCAGGCTGTACATTCAAATCACCTGAGGGGCTTAAGACTATTACCGGCCCCACGTCTGGCAGTTTTCATCCTCTTGGACGTTAGAAGTTTTCTAAAGCCCTGGAGGTAAATCTGCTGGGCAAGCCTGGCTGAGGGTGCTCTGAGGTGTTGGAGGGTCTATCCACCCTTGCCTTTGGGAAACCAGCCAGCCAGTGGTCCAAAAAGGTTGTCGGCTATCTTCTCAAGTCCCCGCCGTCTTCCTTCCTGCTCATTTCCTGTCTCCCAATTTTTCCCTGGAAGCTTTCCCATTTGAAGATACGAATTCAGCTACAGCCCACCGGGATCTGAAGTACTAGTGAACTTGACTGCCTGAGGAGGTGGGCCTGTGGAGAAGCAGAGCTACTGTTTTCCACAAAACATAACACTTTAAATGATTCTGAAGCCTGTTAAATTACACTGATGAGATTAATCTGATAAAGTGGTAACAGGGTAGATGCACAGAAATCATCGTTTTCACATGCTTTTTAATTCAGTCAAAATTCATGAAAGACCTTGTGTTCACTGATGGAGCTGGAGTTTAAAATTATGAGTACAGAATTCATTCGCCTGTTATAAGGCATACATAACAACTTTCTTGTCCGTGTGTGAAAGTCACCTAGAGTGTAGCTCTATGTGACTCCGCCCAGTGAATGAGCAGATGGAGGCCACATTTTACCCTTGAAGCCGGGCTAGCCCCATTCCTTGATCATGCCCCTAAGAATGTGTTTCTATTCTGAATCCTTTGGGCTTTGTGTTGTTATTCAGTGTGCGTCATGTCCGCATCCAAGGATAATTTCCTCTCCTAGAAATAAGGTATATGATCCAGCAATTACACTTGTGGATATAGACCCAGAAGAGGGTCTCGAAGAGATGCTTGTACCCCCGTGTTCATAGCAGCAGCAGCCTTCACAATAGAGAAGAGGTGGAAGCAACCCAAGTGCCTATTAAACAGACAAATGTAAAGTCTATTTAAAATAGACTTTACAAAATGCGGTAACTACATATGACAGAACGTTCTGTCTTCAAGAAGAAAGAAACGCTGACATCTGCTGCAGTGTGGATGAACCCTGAAGACTTTATGCTGAATGAAAAAGCATTCACAAAAGGACAAATGCTAAAGGAGTGTATGAGGCACTTAGAATAGTCAGAGATCATGGAAAGTAGAATGATGGTTGCTAGAGGCTACAGGGAAGGAGGGATGTTAATGGGTTTGGACTTTCAGTTGTGAAAGATGAAAGTTGCTGAGTTGGATGGCGGTGATGGTTGCAGAACAACGTGAATGTACTTAATGCCATATAACCGTACACTTAAAAGTGGTTAAAGTGGTCAATTTATATATATATGTATGTATATATATATAACACGCCACAATAATAAATAGTAAAACATAACCAAAGAATAGAGGTATCTGTAGGAGCCCTCTGCCCTAATGCAGATGAGCCCCACCCTGTAAACGCTAGTGAAGTCTAAGGATTTTGGCCAGCATGGCAACCCCAGTGCTGTCTCTTTTGCTCAGAGCCGTAGATGGGAAACAGAAGTTAGGGAAGTATGTCTCAGGCACCCTGGAGGACTCCTCAGGGGAAACTCATCTGACAAGGACACAGATATTTTTCTAGGTTCCGTGAGTCTTCTTTGTGGTTCATCCTACCAGCTGGAGTTTTCTGATATTCCAGTGTATGTGAAAATAATAGCTAAGATTTTTGTTTTTGTTTTCAGACAGAGTCTCACTCTGTCACCCAGGCTGGAGTGCAGTGGTACAATCTCAGCTCACTGCAACCTCCGTCTCTCCAGTGATTCTTTTGCCTCAGCCTCCCAAGTAGCTGGGATTACAGGTGCCCGCCACCACACCGAGGTAATTTTTGTATTTTTAGCTATTTCATCCTGTTTGCTTTTACTTTTTCAAAAATATATATATTTTAGAGCCATTGTTTTAGGGTTCTAGGAAAATGGAGTGGAAAGTACAGTGTTCCCTGATACCTGCCCCTCCCCTCAACAGTTTCCCTTGCTTATTCACATCTTGCGTTAGTGTGGTACATTTCTTCCAACGGATGCAATATTATTAGCAAAAGTCTATAGTCTACATTACGGTTCAACCTTGGCGGTGTATAGTCTATGGATTTGGACAAATGTGTCATGGCCCATATTCCCCATTATAGTGTCATACAGACGATCTTCACTGCCCTAAAAATCCTCTGTGCTCCACCTGTTCTTCCCTCTCTCCCATCAACCGCTGTTCCTTCTGTTGCCTCCACAGTTTTGCCTTTTCTGGAATGTCATATAGTTGAAGTCCTGCAGTATGTAGCCTGTTCAGATTGGCTTCTTTCACTTCGTAATACGCACTTTAGTCTCCTCCAAGCCTTTTCTTGGTTTGGTAGCTCATTTCTTTTTAGTGCTAAATAATATTCCATCATCTGGGTGTAACCTGGTTTATCCATTCACCTGTTCAAGGGCATCTTGGTTGCTTCCAAGTCCTGTGCTCTTTTAAGATTTCAGTTTTCTCTAAGTTTGACCTTGATGTGACAAGGTGGGAAGGGCCATAAAAAATATCATTCTTTTTCTCCTGTTGACTTAGTGCCTGAGTAATCCAGACAGTGCTGAGCCATATGGTTCACTCCAGGAGCAATAGGCTCTATGAGGCTGTTGAACAGTTGAAATGAGGCTGGTCCAAATGGAGATGTTTGTACTTTCTGTGCAGATGCACACTGGATTTCAGACTTAGTATAAACAAGAGTGTAAAATATCTAATAATTTCTTACAACAGTCATGTATAGAAAGGATTAGATATGTTGGATTATATAAAACATTTTGAAATTATTGAACTTGTTTCTTTTTAATATATATATATATATTTTGACAGAGTCTTGCTCTGTTGCCCAGGCTGGAGTGCAATGGCGCCATCTCGGCTCAATGCAGCCTCTGCCTCCCGGGTTCAAGCGATTCTCCTGCCTCAGCCTCCCAAGTAGCTGGGATTACAGGGACCCACCACCAGACCTGGCTGATTTTTGTATTTTTAGTAGAGATGAGATTTTACCTTGTTGGTCGGGCCGGTCTTGAACTCCTGACCTCAGGTGGTCTGCCTGCCCCGACATCCCAGAGTGCTGGGATTATAGGCGTGGCCACCACACCCAGCCTCTTTGTAATTTTTTAATGAGACTACTAGAAAACTGTAAATTACCAAAAGCTCCCATCATGTTTCTGTTGGGCAGTGCTACTGGAGGAAAGAGGAATGCTTGGCTTTTGTCCACGGTGCCGCATTAAGGATGTTATTCAGCTGAGGTTTCTCAGGCACCTGCTATGTGCCAAGCACTGTTGAATCACTTTAGATAATTCGGTGATTGAAAGAAAGTCTATGACTTTGTGGGTTTTAGTACATTAGATTTGAATATCATTAAAGTACTTTGGCGGGTTTTCTCCACGGTAGGACTTCTCTTTTTAAAAGACCAGTGCCTCAGGAAAGAAAAAGGGGGCCTTAGGATAGAAATACTCCGGTTCTCTTTGTGGTCCCAACACTAATTACGGGTGTGACTTTTGGCAGTTCCCTACCCATTAAGCCTTGGTTTCCTATCCGTAAAATGGGACTAAGTAATTCCTCTCGTAGAGTGCTGCTTGTGCAACTTGGGGTCAGAATGGGTACTCCGGAAGTGATTCCTACCCAGCCGGCATCCCTTCCTGGAGCACTGCAGCTTTGGGATTCCTGTCTTCCCTGCCCAGTTCTTACAGCTCCCAAGGGCACGCAGAGCCGGGGAGAGCAGCTCTGAAGTTCAATTTGCATTGTACCTTCTCCATTTACATTTCTTGACCTTTCCCTTTCTCAACCAGCATTCCCCAGCGGGGTATCTGTTTTCTAACCCACCTAGCCTCTTGCTGAATTTTAATCCCAGCTCTGGCTATAAAAGCCTTAAAGCAAAATGTGAATTGTAGCTCCATAATTATAATGTGGGACTTTCTGTATAAAACGAAGTTGCTCTAGCAGGAAGCCAGGGCTACGAATCAGTAGCAGTTTCAGGATGCGTGGCCTCTTTTTGGCATAGGAGGTCCCTTTTTCTGCCCAGCGGTGGTATTTCTTCCAACATCTGTGCAGGTTGAAGTCTGGTGAGAGCTGATGCTAAAAGAAATGTACTAATGGAATGCACAGGTATTACCTCTCTCTGGTCCAAATCCCTGTGTGCTCTCCTGCCTTGGTAGATGACTTGGCAAGATGTAGACACACTCGGAACCTGTTTACCATTTTCTATAAAGGCCTTGCCTGTAGCCCATTGATCTACCCACTATGTATATTCATTTTAATGCTCTTTTTGAGTCTGTTGACTACCCTGGGAAATCAGACTTGCCTACCACAGCCCTAGTCCTCAAGTGTCTTGCCTGCAATGAGGTTATCTGGCCTATTAGAATTAAGTGCTAAAATGCAGGATGGGGGTGGCACCTGCCAGCTGTTTGTGACTAGCCCTGAAGATGTTGGAGATTTAAATTTTAGATGGATTGTTGTAGCTGCAAGGGATAGGAAGGATAGGTGGGTTATGCAGAATCCTTGGGTACCTTGTCTTCCTGGACCCCCTGTTAGTACCCTTGGGCTAAGATACACTGTTGAACACACTCCTTCTGTGGCCCCTTTCAGATCTGTTGATGATGCCTGGATTCCTTCTTTCAGAGTGACCCTGCCCAGTCCCAGGGAAGGGGCAGATGGGCTCTGTTGCTCGTCTCAAAGTTCCCTTACTTTATTTCTTTTGAGGTTTTATCAGTGCAGAAGTGGAAAGAAGATGAATGCCATTTGCTTTAGAAATAGTTTCTGTGTTTTAGGGAGAAAGAAGCAGAGAATATACTTTTAGTTGAGCACACTTTAAAATAACAGTAAGAAAGACTTGTTAGAAGACAGGCATTGTGAAGAACTGTTTTTTTGCAAAGATTTTCCCCGCTTTGGGTAATGAGAACTTGTGCCCTCCTGCATGTTGTATTTCATGGGCCTTAGATCAATGGGAATTTTTTTTTTTTCCAGGAAAAGGTAACCTACTAAGTATAGTCGTAACCTACCAGCATGAAATGTAATCATTTATTAGACCAGACTGTTTGTTAATTCAGTAGTGTGTCTTAAAAAAGAGCCACCCTCAAATTCAAAGTAGAAATAGATTCTTCATTCTACTCCTTTTTGACATCTGATTTGCATTCCTGGTCTCAATGCAGGTGCCCCTACTGTTCAGTGTTTGGGACACAGCCTCCGAGTAAGTCCAAGGAGAGCTCAGGGTTAGGCAGTATTGGCCATGAGCCCCTTGCCAGCCTCCCAGGGACTTTGAGAGGGGATGTTTGGGGGAAGATGCTTAAGGAAAGGGTGTTTTGTAATTTAGAGAGAAAAAGGAAATTTACCACATAGAAAATGAAATCCTCAATGGGAATATTAGAAAATATAATTGTCACATTATGTAACGTTTGGACATTTTCCACCGCCAGTAAGAATGCATCCTTTTCTTAATTTTAAAATATGGAAAAGGTCGACCTTTATGCTACCATAAGAAAAATCAAGGGAAAAGGAGGTTTTACGCATGATGGGAAACTTGGCGTCATTATTTAGCTCAGTATGGAAAACAGCCACAGGAATATAAGGCAATTAATTCCTCTAAGTGTGAAATGTAATCTTGAAAAAATAGGAAACAGGCGCTGAGGTGATGAGATAAGACAAGCAGGGTGTTGTGCAGTGGCACCGAACAACTTCTGGAATGTTCCAGAACGTGGCTTTGTAGCTGGAGAGGGCCTCCTGGCTTCTGTGTGGCGACCGAGACTGACCCCTGCTGGCGGGTTGTTGCTAAACCATGGCTGTTAATGAAGCAGGCATAGCCCCTTAAGCAGGAGATCCTGCCAGGACACAGGCAGGCCTGTCTCCCAGGCCATGCCTTGCACCAGCCCTGGATGCTGTTGCCTGAATTCCCAGTGGGAAAGAAAATGGACTCAGCAGTTTTTAGTGTTTTGGTCTCAGTTTCCACCATTCCTCCCCTTTCCCAGTCTGGGATGTCACTGTTTGCTCTCTCCTCCCTCCCCTCTGTTACCTCAAGGTTTCATGGAAATAAAAAAGCCCTGCCAACATCACAGAGAGGCAGAAAATTCCACCTGGAGCCAGACACTTGAGAAATTTGATGCCAGGGTACTCTGTGTTTAGGAAAATATCCATATTAGGTTTAAGAAGTATTTGAAAAATTCCTATAAGTGAAAATCAGATGGGAAGAAATAAAAAAACCTGAGTTCATGCCATGACTGTGATACAACCAAGATCTTTGTGAGCCAGTGGATGGGGAAATGAGATAATGTACGATATTTGTATGTGTTTCCTGGAAAACTTCTTAAACAGATTATAAAAAGCACTAAGCGTCAGGGAAAATGCCCAACAGTGGTATTTCTTCCAACATCTGTGCACCAAGGAAAATGTTAATACATTGGACTATTCTTAAATAATAGACCAGCCGAGGCCTGGCATGGTGACTCATGCCTGTAATCCCAGAACTTTAGGAGGCCGAGGCAGGCAGATCACTTGAGGTTAGGAGTTCGAGACCAGCCTGGCCAACACAATGAAACCCCGTTTCTAGTAAAATTACAAAAAGTAGACAGGCATGGTGACACACACCTGTAATCCCAGCTGCTTGGGAGGCTGAGGCATGAGAATTGTTTGAAGGCAGAGGTTGCAGTGAGCTGAGATGGCACCACTGCACTCTAGCCTGGGCAACAGAGCAAGACTGTATCTCAAAAAAAAAAAGTAGACTCACAGAGTCTACGTT